TTTGTAGCAATGCAAGAACCACCTAACAGAAAGGAAGTTGCCCTTGGAGAACAATCAGAGCTTAAGACAGTAGATTTCAGAAGCTTCTCAACTCAGAGGCAAGAGCTGACTCAGTGCTGCACAAACTCTCACACAGACGAACAAAGGGCTATGGACACACAATGGCACAACTGGAGGGGAATCTCTACAGGCTTAACTGGAGTTCCAGGAAATCTGGCCATGTTGCTCCTATGGCTTTGAGTGACACTTTCCCAAAATCCCCTAGCCCCACTGACATGGTTTGGCTCTGTGCCCCTGCCCAAATCTCATGTTGAATTGTAATCCCCAGTGTTGGAGGTGAGGCCAGGTAGGAGGTGACGGGATCATAGGGGTGGATCCTTCATGAATGGGTTAGCACCATCCCTTTGGTGCTGTGTTCATGATAGAGTTCTCATGAGATCTGGTTATTTAAAAGTGTGTGGGACCTTCTCCTGTCTCTTCTTCCTCCTACTCTGGCCATGTAAGACTTACCTGCTTCCCCTTCTGCCATGACTATAAGATTCCTGAGGCCTCCCCAGAATCAGAAGCCTCCATGCCTCCTGTACAGCCAGCTGAACCCTAGGCCAATTAAACCTTCTTTCTTTATAAATTACCCAGACTCAGATATCTCTTTATAGAAGTTCAAGAATTAATACACCCTCCATGACACCCACACTACATACCATAGATACGCACTGTCAGTGCAAGATGCATAAATGAAAGCTATCCTGGGAACCACAGAGGTCTCCAAGGGGCTGGGTGTAAAGGCAAGATCAAGTTCTGGGGGCTCAGTGGTCAAAGGCAGTCTAGACACATGTGGTTGGGTCCTTGTCGTTTTGAAGAAGAGAGGTTTATTGTCAACATTTAGAAGGTAGGAGATTTCACAAAGGCTCTAGATTTACGGCTTCTCTTAAAATTTTGAAGACATGACCACAGTGGCCCTATGTACCCCCATCACCATAAAGCAGCGCTGGGAGCAGCTGCCCCCTTGGGCAGGACCTGTGTTCTTCCATTCCCCCACCTCTTACCCTTACAATCCGGCCTTTGCCCTCTTTAATGGCACACACACACTTGCTATACTGGAAACGCTGGTGTAAACAAGGAAGAATGGAGGACAAAGAGAAAACCTGAGAAAATAGCTATTTAGCAGGCAGGACAAAAGAGGTATTTATATATAGAAAGAAACAGGAAAGGAACTGAAACAGAAGGAATATCCATTCCCTTAATGCAAATCTCCTATATTATGTTGCTTACCAGGAAGTCTTAGTATCTGAAGATGCATCTAATGTAATACCATTTGGATGATGAAGCATTCTGCTCGGCTCATCTTTCACTGGAGTAAAATTGTAACTATCAAAATTTTGGCATCACAGCAAGAAAGAGAAACCGCCATGTACTCATGTCTAAGAAAGCATATTGTATCCGTTTAATAATTTCAGAAGGGCCATAAAAATTCATCCGTGCAATTAAATATCCCCATCAACTATTAACAAATTAAGCATTCTGTAAGTTAAGATACATTAAAAAGAGATAATTGGCATTTGATTCTATTTTGTACGTCAGAGATGCATGTAATATTAATGACTCATGATCATGACTCTATTTTCTTGAGTCTTTTTAAAGTGCGTATTAATCATCTGTTAATGTTACCGTAACTCATGAAATACAAGCTAACTTTTTGCTTGGAGCCTTATACGCTCAGAGACAGTCATCACGGATGTCTACTGGGCATCCGAAGGTACTCCACTAAAGCACTTCTTTTTCTCTGTTGTTAACACTTACAGTCACACTTCCTTTCTGTCATCTGTCCTGGCTGAAGGCTGGCCTCCTGAGTGTCAGTGTGGACACTTGAGAGAAAGCATCTTTCAGCCAACATGTGAAACTCACCGTCTGTCAGTCCATCGTTTGAGTTTCATCCCTTTGAGATCTGAAGGTCAGTATGTCTTCAAGCACTCACCATTAAGACCCAAACTTCTCTGAAGGTTTTGCTTTAGTTAATCTTAAAGTATTAATATTATTTGCAGATAGCCACGGATGTGGTCCTGAAACACTGCATGATTAACAGTGGGGTGGGAACTGAACCATAGGATAGCTTACCTTCTCTGCTGTAAAAATTTGCCCATGGCTGGCTCTACTCAAATGTAATTTTTCAGCTTTTGGTGTGGGCAGGAAAATAACAGAACTTCTCAAAAATCACTTTTTTTTTAAATCTGTGATAGAGTCTCCCTCTGTTGCCCAGGTTAGAATGCAGTAGCACGATCACAGCTCACTGCAGCCTCGACCTCCTGGGCTCCAGCAATACTCCCTCCTCTGCCTCCTGAGTAGCTGGGATTACAAGAGCACACCACCACCCTGGCTATTTTTTTTTTTTAAATTATTATTTCAGTGGAGACATAGTCTTGCTATGTTGCCCAGGCTGGTCTTAAACTCCTGAACTCAGGCAATCCTCCCACCTTGGCCTCCCAAGGTTCTAGGATTACAGATGTGGGCCACTGGGCCTAGCTAAACTCTTACTCTTGTTAATCACAAATTTTTAAACTGAGAAAGAACTTTATGATTGTCTGTAAAAATTCTTCATCCCTACTCCATTATTCTATCTTATTATCTTAACACCAACAAGCATACCCCTAAAACCGAGCCCAGGTACACAGGCCTCTCCTGACTCTCCCAATTTAAGACAGAACCATGATTTTAAGAGTCAGTTTGGCCCTCAGGTAAAACTCACATAACGTATTGAACTATAAATCCGGGATCAGAGGATTTTCAACAAAGCCCTTTTCCCCAAATAAGGTACCATTCACAGGTTCCAGAGATTAGGATTTCCACATCACAACTGAAAAGGCCTTTTGATATGGGATGGGGGCAGGAAAGTTCTGGGTAGAGAAGGACAGGGACTCTGGTGATGACTCCACCCTCAGGCCTGTGCCCACAGACATAAAAGAGGACAGGTATTTCTGTTTTCTCACTCAAAAAGTTGCCTTTTGGCCTACCATGACCCCCCCCATCCTATGCCCATAAAAACCTGGGACTAGTTGGCACAGACACAGGCAGCTGGACATTGAGAGGAACAGAAGAATACACAGACAGACACCAGCAGACACTGGCAGCAGAATGATGTAGATGCTGAGGGGAGTTAGTCCGGGGGTGGTTACAGGAGAGTCTGGCAGTTGGGCGACCCAACTCCAGGGAAAGACCACCTTCCCACTCCATCCCCCTTCCAGCTCCCCATCCCTCTCATTGAGAGCTACCTCTACCACTCAAGAAGACCTTGTGCTCATTCTCCAAGCCCACATGTGATTTGGCTTTTCTGATACACTAGGGCAAGAATCCAGGATACAGAAAGCCCTCTGTAATTGTGATAAGGCAGAGGGTCTAACTAAGCTGATGAACACAACCTGCCTGCAGATGGCAAAGCTGAAAGAGCACACTGTAATACACGCCCACTGGGACTTCAGGAGCTGTAAACACTCAACCCTAGACACTGCCATGGGGTCAGAGCCCAAAAATGCTCCCTGCAACCTGCCCACCTGCATGATGCCCCTAGGGCTTTGAGCAGTGGGGCGCTGAAGAAGCAAGCCACACCCCTGTCACACACCCTGCAAAGGGGATAAGGGAACACTCTCATTTCACTTTTTCTCAAAATGAGGGACCATTCACAGGTTCCAGAGATTAGGAAAAGGACTTCACAGATGTGATTAAGTTCAGTATCTCAAGATGGGGAGATGATCCTAGATTCGGCATATGGATCCAAAATGTAATCAATCACAAGAGTCTGTACAAGTGGGAGGGAAGGCAGCAAAGGAGGAAAAGGTCATGTGATGAAGCAAGCTGGAAAGAAAGGGAGACGCAACATAGCCAAGAGCCAAGGGAGGGAACAGCTTCTGGAAGCTGGAAAAGGCAAAGAGATGGATCTCCCCGAGAGCCCGCAGAGGGACCCACTCCTTGATTTTAGCTTCATCGACTCATTGCAAACTTCCGACCTCAAGATAGATGCTGTAGCAGCATCTACCTGTGCTATTTCAAGTCATCATTTTCACAGAAATTTGTTACAGCAGCAAGAGAAAACCAATATACCATTGAAATCAACCTAATGCATTCAACTGCCTTGGTTTTTTTTTTTTTTTTTTTTTTTTTTTGAGACGGAGTTTTGCTCTTGTTGCCCAGACTGGAGTGCAATGGCATGATCTCAGCTCACTGCCACCTCCAACTTCCGTGTTCAAGTGATTCTGCTGTCTCAGCCTCCCAAGTAGCTGGGATTACAGGCACCTACAACCATGCCTGGCTAATTTTTGTATTTTTAGTAGAGATGGGGTTTCACCATGTTGGCCAGGCTGGTCTCAAACTCCTGATGTCAGGTGATCCACCCACCGTGGCCTCCCAAAGCACTGGGATGACAGGCATGAGTCACCATGCCCAGCCTCAACCTCCTTTCTATTTGAGTTTTGCAACTGGTATGCCTCAAGATATTGATCTTCATATCCAGAGGGGCAGCTGGGTGGGACCCAGGGCAAGAGCCATAAAGAGCTCCCCCATGGCCCTCCAGTTCCCCAGAACGCCACACATGCTTGTCCTTTTCTATGATCCTGCATCATGGAAAACACTGCAAACGCGGCAACAGTATGAGGCTTCAAGTATAAAATAGCTCCAGAAAAAATAACTTTCAAACTTCATCCTTAAAAGCTCCTGAACACAGCTCCTCTTATACAAGGAAGAATAAAGAAGTGTGAACATGACTATCACTTTGAAACTTTCAGTATCGCCGTTGGAAAGCTGCACTTGAAAACTTTAGATAAAGGTGCAAAATGCAACATCCTCCCTCTGCAGGAAAGCTGTGATCCCGAGACACCCGTGTGCGGCTCCTGGAGAGCTGTGTACACACAGCGGCTCCAGCCCAAGGCAGGCTTCCCTGGCCTCTCTCAGTGGCTCCTTTTTACCCTTGAATTTGGGGGCTCACTGGCCACCAGAGCTCACCAGTCACAGACCTGATGGGGAGAGAAGGGTCTCCGGCGTCCCACCAGTCTTTTGGTGGGCTGATGTACATGCACCACAGCTCCCAGCTGTACCCATGGGCTGAGTTCTCGTACCGCTGCACCTCAAAGTTGTCCTGTTTGATGTTGTCAATAGAGGGGAGGATCACACGCTTCCGGTTTTCCTGGATGCGGGACAGAACTGGCTCAGCCCTGAAACACAGAGAAACAGACATGAAATTTCTCTTCTCTCTCCTGAGGCACACCTCCCAAGACCACAGGGAATGAATAGCATTCGGCTAAAAGGCTGGGCTTTGGGAAGCCTGGAACTCAGATGGAAACTGAGGCTCCCAGGGACCTGCACACATTGGATCCTGCAGCTTCACATCTGGGCCAGGAAGTGTGTGAAATCCGCTCATACCTTCACCCTTATGGGAATGACCACAGTGATGCCTGCTCCAGCCTGAAAGCCTGGAATAAGAGTTCAGAATGTGGGATCTCCTGCTGAAGCAAGTACCAAGTCTCATTTTCATATTGACAGTGGACTCTATGATTTACAATGCATGACAGGTTTTTAAAAATATTCATTTATTATAATTTAAGTTCTTGGGGACATGTGCAGATCGTGCAGGTTTGTTACATAGGCATACACATGCCATGGTGGTTTGCTGCATCCATCGCCCCGTCATCTACATTAGGTATTTCTCCTAACGCTATCCCTCCCCAATTCCCCCACTCCCTGCTATCCCTCCCTTTGCCCCCCAGGCCCCGACAGGCCCTGGTGTGTGATGTTCCCCTCTCTGTGTCCATGTATTCTCATTGTTCAACACCCACTTATGAGTGAGAACATGTGGAGTTTGGTTTTCTGTTCTTGTGTCAGTTTGCTGAGAATGATGGTTTCCAGCTTCACCCATGTCCCTGCAAAGGACATCATCCTTTTTTATGGTTGCATAGTATTCCATGGTAGATATGCACCACATTTTCTTTATCCAGTCTATCATTGATGGGCATTTGAGTTGGTCCTAAGTCTTTGCTCTTGTGAACAGTGTTGAAATAAACATACGTGTGCATGTGTCTTTATAATAGAATGATTTATAATCCTTTGGATATATACCCAGTAATGGGATTGCTGGGTCAAATGCTATTTCTATTTCCAGATCCTTGAGGAACTGCCATACTGTCTTCCACAACGGTTGAATTAATTTACACTCCTGACAGTTTTATACAGTGTTGTCAGTTTCCCCCCAGGGCACTGACTAACATTGCTTGTTTTTTCTGCTGCCACTGAATTCCCTTTCCCAAAATAGGTCACTTCTGCCCGGGATGTCCTGGTTTTAATATGCGTTTCACTAGCTTCTCTCTCTTTCTCTCTCTCCCCACCCCTGTGTGTGTGTGTGTGTGTGTGTGTGTGTGCGCGCACGCGTGTGCATGTGCGCACGCACATGTGTGTGACTACTTCAGTTGTTTTAATTGATTATTTAATTGATTTCTTAAAAGAGATCTAATGAAATTGGTTAGTAATAGAAGGCTGGAAACTAATTAAATGCAAAGGCAGGCAGAATCCTGCCCTGCTCACTTCCCCAGCTCGAGGCTGCAGCGGGCATTCATTAGGGATCTGGCTCCAGGTTCAAGGTGTAGCCCGGCTGGCTTAGGAGACAGCAGATGGTCAGACACCTCCACCATCATGTGCCTCTGAGGCAGACACAGGAAGAGATCATTTCCCACATTTGAGAAGGAGAAGATGGCTCTCTCCTAAGCCAGGGCATTAATCTCCCAGCTTACAACAGAATGCAGGCTTTGGAACAGAGTCAAGCAAAAATCCCATTCCTCTGCATTATCAGGAAGAATAATGAGAACACACAGTCGACAACCCATCTCGTTTCATTTGCAGCTATTGAATTACCTGTTGGCTCATCTCATCTTTCTATTTAAAATGAGCAATAAAATATACCCTGGGCCATTACCTGCTTCCAATACTTTTGCACACACCATATAAGCTGAAGCCAAATGGCACTGATTTTCCAAGGCTTCCAGGCAGGCTTAGAAGCATGGCCCCGGCCAAGTCTATACTCATGAAATTCTCCCCTGGGAATGCCCTTTGCTATTGGCAGAAAGCCTAGCCACCTAAGAAGGCTAGGTGGCACCAAGTACCACCTCTCTCACTATCTGCTCCCAAGACCAAGTACCACGTCTCCCATGGGACTTCTTCCGCTCAACTCTTAGACCATTTCTCCACCTTATTTAAGTCACAGTGACTGCACAGCTGCCTTTGCTAATAATCTCTGAACACACACTATTTTTCCTTATAAGCTAATCATAGCTGACCTTTATTGAGCACTTGCTGGTGCAAGGCACCATTTTAAATATTTCACGTGTGCTGACTGATGCAACCCCCAAGATAATCCTATGAGGCAGATATGATGATCACCATTATCCAAATGAGGAAACTGAGGCCCAGGGAGGCTAAGTAGCTTGCCTCAGGCTACACAGCCAACTGGTGGTAGAACCAGGTTTCTAACGTAGCTGGTCCGGTTCATGTCTTCATTCTGAAGCTCCTTGACCTCCCTGATGAACCATGATGAACCCCCATCCAAGTCCAGGCCATGCATATAGAAGCATTCAGTTCAGCCTATCCATCAGCTGTGAAAGAGTCACTGAGTATGAAGGCAGAAGACCTTGGTTCCAATAATATTTCTGTGGCTGAGAAGTCTGATCCCACTGTCTATGGGACAATGTATGACGGTTCCCAATAATTTGCTTCCTCTTCGCTGGGGAAGTCCTTCCTATTACCAAATGGCCTGCAGTGCTTCCCTAGCGAAGCACATTCCTTCCTCCAAACTTCAGTTAACACTTAACCTGGACCTGTGAATTGGTTTGCCAAGGGGATGCAAGCCAATGTGAAAGTGTCACATCAGAGCAGAAACTTTAACAGCAATTTCCAAGTTCAGCCACTGTTCTTTTCTCTGAGCCACCAACATGGGATGTCCTAGACGGGAGGATTCCTTGGCTCTCAGAACACCGAGAATAAATCAAGCACAGTCACAGCCAGACAACCATAGCTAACGTGCCATGCACACAAGAGAGAAACATGTATTGTCATAAGTCATTGAGACTGGAGATTATTATTGCAGTAGAACCCGGTAAAAGTTGAGACACACTGTCTATCTTGTAGTGAAGAGCTGCAAAAGAGTTTTAATTCAAAGAGGATTCTATGCCATCTGGTAGAAGTGTGGAAAATGAGACTGAATGGCAAAGACTAAAGTCACAGAAATCAATGAGAATTAGATGACAAGTGGATTAGATTACATAGACCCGAATTAGACTGTAGACCTGAGGGCAGATACTAAACCTGCCAGCTTTTGAATCCCAGCTGAGTGTCTTTTAGACACAAGAAGTTCCTCTTCAAAGAGCTTAGTTTATTTAGTTTCCTTGTTCTTTGTTCCCCGCTTTCAAGGCCAGACTTCCTTATCCTTTGTGCCTCCCTGCCCTAGTTTCAGTAAACAACTTTCCAGCCCATCCTAATCTACAAAGCCGACATCTACTACTCACTATGTAAATTACCCCTCCTGCTGCAATGGCTCTTCCCACTGAAACTGCCCTTCCCTCCTCATTATGCACATCCCAAGCACTCTTCAAGTTAGCCAATCAGGTTCCGCTTAGATTGTGTGGTCCAACTCCAGCCAAGGGAGGCAAGACACACTAGCAGAAACAAACTGCATTAGGAATAAAAATCTCTTCCCTTCTTTGTTCAGGGTGCCCTCATGGCAAGCAGCGCCCTTCTGCAGAAGTAAATTTGCCTTGCTGAGAAATCCTTTGCGTAAGTGCTCATTTTCTTTGCGACTCTGAGCTTTTATTCCCAAGTGTCCAACCATCCCAGTTTGTGCAGGACTCTTCCAGCCTTACCACCGAAAGTTCTGAGAAATCATTCAGCACCAGACTTCTTACTAATCAAGCAACCCAGGGTACAGGTTATTTAACCTCTAACTTGATGGATCATTGGTTAGTTAGCAAAAATCATCTGACCATGCTTTAAAACTGGAACGTCCTATTCCAGTTTCAACATGATTTTGGCATTTTGTGGCCTCACTCTTTGTGCATCTAAACTCTTCTAATCCCCATATGCTCAGCAAACCTAGAACAGCACCAGGGATATGTTAGGTATCTAGCAAGTATCTGTCAAAAGAATGAGTTCCAGCAGTGACCTCTTTTGTTTAGGTGAATGTTAAGAGCCAAGCTGGGAGAGTGGTGGTCAAGATGGAGAGAAAGGGAGACAGGAGAAACAGCAGACAAAACTGGCTGGAGCTGGAGGTTGACTGGATGAGTAACATGATGGCAAGGGGAAAATCAAGTGAAAGGCACACCAATTAGAAAGGAAAGAAAAGAGGAGGCAATGGTGCCAAGGAAAAGACAAGGTATGCCAAGCCTGAGGCTGTGATAGAACATTCACACGTCTCTGTTCAGAAGGCTTCTATGATAGCTCAGTGCTTCTCAAACTACAGCATGCATCAGAGTCCCCTGAAGCGCTGGTTACAACAGACTGCTGATCCCACCTGCATGGCTTCTGATTTCAGGGGACTGGGTGGAGCCCAGGAATTTGTATTTCTGCAAGTTCCCAGATTCTGCAGATGCTGTGGGTCTGGGCACCACACTTTGGGAATGATTATTACTAGTGATAAACAGCCCTGGAGCTCAGAGAGAGATGGGAAGAGAAGACACGCAGCTGGGAGTCACCAGGGTTTGATGACAGCAAAAGACTAGGAGGGAAAATTGGTGTCTAAGATGGCAACAGACCCTCATGTGCACTTGAAGGAGTCAGTGTTATCAGTGGCCCCGGATTTCTTATGTGGTCATGTGCATAAAAGTAGGAAGTAGAAAAGTTATTCTTCAAAGTTTCCTTTCTTGCTAAGGAATAAATCATAAGTGTTGGAAATAATAGTTTGTTTTAAAGGCTTTCTTCAAAGCCTTCTTCCTTTTTGCTTATAACTCTTTGCTAAGCCCTATCCTATGTAGCTGTTAGACAGGCTCACAGGCACATAGTACATTCTATGTCCTTGTACTTTAAACAAGATATTTATGCTATTACTTTTCTAAGTCCTTTTGCAAGCAATTTCCTGTCCCTTCCTTATTTAGACTTCCTCTTTTCCTTTTGTTCTCCATTGCCTTTATTCAATAAAGTTTTAAGTTATTAGCCAATCAAGTTCAGTTTTAGATTGTGAAGTCTAGCTCCAACCAACGGAGATCAGACACAGCAGTAAGGACAGCCCCAAATGCATAAAAGACAAATAATGTCTGCTTTTCTTTGTTCATTGTACTCAACTGGCAAGACTGCTTGTGAGAGTACCCTTTCTGCAAGAAGTAAAGATTGCCTTGCTGAGAGATCCTTTGTCTCAGTGCCGATTTTTCTTTGTGGCACCGAGCATCTGTTTCCAACAATAAATATTGTCTTTTTATCCCGCCATTAAAAGGATTCTAGAGGTTGTTGCAAATGAAGAAGAACAGACATTTTAATGTTAATCAGTGATGGGATATTGGTTCTTCAAATCTAGTACAGTGAACAACACTTACTCTAGATGGCCTCAATGAGTGTAAATAAACACATTTGTGAACTACAAAACTCTGCTTCTTACTAATTAAGCAAACCAGGGTACAGGTTATTTAATCTCTAACTTGATGGATCATTGGTTAGTTAAGAACAATCATCAGACCATGCTTTAAAACTGGAAAGTCCTATTCCAATTTTAACAGGATTTTGGCACTTTTGTGGCCTCACTCATCCAAAATCTTCTACTTCCTGTACATTTAACCAATTTCTCACATACTGTTTTTTTCACCTGGAAAAATATCAGGGCCACTTCTGCAGAAAATACACTTCACCTTCCTCTGAATGATGGTAAAGATAATCCCATACATTCTGGGAAGCTTTACATGAGTAGTTAGAATTATAACTATATCTCTTTTCTCACAATGACAGTAAACCATTCTCCCCTGCAAAGAGAACAGCAAAGAAGGAAAAGAAAATGAAAATATGACTGCCTTGTGCCGTTTGCAGGAATTCCGTTGAATTCTGTCTAATTGAGACATTATTTTCTTTTTCTCCTTCTTCTTCTTTTTTTTTTTTTTTTTGAGATGGAAACTCTCTCTGTCACCCAGGATAGAGTGCAATGGTGCAATCTTGGCTCACTGCAATCTCCGCCTCCCAGGTTCAAGCAATTCTCCTGCTTCAGCCTCCTGAGTAGCTGGGACTACAGGCATGCACCACTATGCCCAGCTAAGTTTTGTATTTTTAGTAGAGATGGAGTCTCACCATGTTCCCAGGCTGGTCTTGAACTGAACTCAAATGATCCACCCACCTCGGCCTCCCAAAGTGCAGGGATTACAGGCACAAGCCACTGTGCCCAGCCTGATACATCATCTTCTCTGGGGATTTTGATGATGATGACAAGATGCCAATGATGGTGAACTGAACAGACGGCAGACAAATTTCTCCCTGCTCCGCAGTTTTATCCCAGACAGTGGTATCACTTTCTTCTTCAACGATCCTTTCTCCATTCTTCCAGTGCCCCTACAGGGATAGATGCGACACCCCATCTCCCAGATTCCAGCCCCTCTCAACCACAGCACAGGTCTTGAGCACCCCTGAGTTTCAGCTCATGACCTACCAGCCAGCAGTGAATTCCACATGGGCATCAAAGAAGCCAGTGACCTGCCCGGTGGCCACCTTCCAGCCCTCAATGCGAGCGCGGATCAGGCCTTCCCTCTTCCGATTTCTCACCACCTTCACCAGCCCGGGGTAGCGTTTGTGGACATACTCCTCCAGGGGAACCTTCAGCTCCTCTGCAAATGACAAAATATAAGGTCTGTAAACATGTCATTTCGAATTTGCATCTAACCCAGTGCAATGCCCACAGATCTTCTGGGAGGTCAAAGATCTCAAAACAAAATTGCCTGTTACTCATTCTGGCAAAAAAGAAAATCTCATGAGTCTGGGAGTCAGAAGCCATCTCAGATGCATTCACCCAGGACAGCTATCTTCTGACAGCCTGCAATCTGTACAGCCGGATGGGAACCATGCCTGGCTTTTCTATCCTGGCTGCTGTGAGCCGGCACATGTCCTTTGGGATTCCTTTTCTTCAGGATCCTTCCTCCAACTTGGCCAGAATCCTTGTCCTTGTCCTCGTCCTCCTGCCACCCCAGGTCCATCCGGTTTATCCATTTCTATATCAGCTTTTTCATCTGTGCACAGACTCGTTCTTACAGTAACGTGTTTTGGGATGCAAAAGAAGTCTTTGCTCCGTTTAAGAAATGCTATCTTGGGGGCAGAACTAATGCTACCAGGGATTGGATACTCTCCCTTCTGCAACCAGCAGGTGGGAAAGTGCTTCATTTCTGAGCTAATTTAATCCTTGCAGAAACCCTAGGAGGTTGCTACATTAATTCCATTAATTAACTAGATTAATTCCATTTTGCAAATGAAGACATAATCTCAGGGAGGCTAACCTGTTCCAAGGTCATGTATGGGGTAATGGGAGAGCTGAAATACAGCCCAACTGAATCTAACTCTATAACGATTGATGCCAGCCAGGTGTGCTGTTGTGCACCTGTACTTCCAGCTAGTCGGGAGGCTGAAGAAAGAGGATCACTTGAGTCCAGGAGTTGGAGGCTATTGTTATACCACTGCATTCCAGCCTGGGCAGCAGAGCAAGACCTGGTCTCTAATTTTAAGAATAAATAAAAATAAAGACATCTTTAAAAAATTTATAAAAAAGAGTGGTACTTTGTGTGCATAAAAATCACCAGTTGTAGGGAGGAAAAGGAGGAGCTAGCAGGGAAGGCATTCTTAGATACCTGCAGTTGGTGCTGGGGAACTCAGGGACATGCCACTGAAGGCCACAGATCATGGAATGCTACAAGGAAAATCCCGCTTGCTCACCAGGGTTGGCCTGTGACTGCAGGAATCTCCATAAGTTCAGGGAGAACATTCTCAATGCTGAGCGCCAGGCAAAATGCCAGGAGTTCGGCAGGCACCGTTAGCTCTTAGCTGCCATGTGATCTGCGACCTACTCGTGGCTTTTCCCAGGAACAGGATGTCAGCTTCTGGCTACACCAGCCACCATGTCTAGGTATCAAATGAATTCCTCATTTGTTAAGCAGTTGCAAGATTTCAGGGGAGGTCTATGGGCAGGGGATTGGCAAGGTTGGAAAAAGAAAAGTGTGGGTCATTACCACTGGCCTCACATCTAAAGAGCTCTGAGAGGTATAAAAGGGGTAAAAGGAGAATGCCTCATCCTTTGGTACTAGTCTCATGGCTGCTCAGACTAAAGGAGAAGCTATATATATAAAGCCCTCAATATCCACTCAATAAATGGTAAATCTAATAATAACTGGTTTACCATCGTTAATATTGATCAATTGCATAACTTCCTATGAACAACCACTTGTCTTTCTAACTAGCCGATATCAATTTTATTTTCATGTATTTTTATTTGTTGAGACAGAGTTTCCCTCTTGTTGGCCAGGCTGGAGTGCAGTGTTGATATCTTGGCTCACTGCAACCTCTGCCTCCAGAGGTTCACGTGATTCTCCTGCCTCAGCCTCCTGAGTTGCTGGGGTTACAGGCATGCATCACCATGCCTGGCCAATTTTTGTATTTTTAATGCAGACGGGGTTTCACCACATTGACCTGACGGGTCTCAAATTCCTGGCCTCAAGTGATCTGCCTACCTTGGCCTCCCAAAGTGCTGGGATTACAGGCATGAGCCACGGCACCCAGCCAGATGCCACTGATTTAAAAAGAGAAAAAGAAGCGAAGAGGAAGAACAAGTTGATGAGTTTCTCTGGGGACAAGCTGAGGTGGCCAGAGGGCATTCTGGGGTATGCAGCTGAACCACAATGATCTAGAAGTGACAAGGCATGGCAGAGGCGTCAGGACTGTGTGATAAGAGATGATGTCCTAACATGGAGAAACCCCAACTCTACTAAAAATACAAAAACTACTACCTGGGTATGGTTGAGGCAGGAGAATTGCTAGAATCTGAGAGGCAGAGATTGCAGTGAGCCAAGATTGCCTCATTGCACTCCAGCCTGGGTGACAGAGTGAGACTCCATCTCAAGAAAAGAAAGAAAGGAGAAGGAGAAAGAAGAGGAGGAGAGGGGGAGGAGGAGGAACAGGAAGAAGAAGAAGAGGAAGAAGGAGGCCTGTAAGAAAGAGGGCGACAGTTCCAGGAACTGCAGTGAAGAAGGGTTAGAGCCACACTTTGTGAAACACATGTATTTAGGAGGCAGGAAGAAGTGCTAGTAAACAGTTGTGGCTCACTGCAGCCTCAACTTCCCAGGCTCAAGCAATCCTCCTGCCTCAGCCTCCCGAGCAGCTGGAACTACTGGCATACACCACTACGCCCAGCTAAGTTCTTTTGTTTTGCAGAGGGCTAGATAGAGAATGTAGAAGGAAGAAGGGCTGAAGAAGCCATGCTCAAGGGAGTACAGACAGGTCTGCAATGAGGAACCACAGTCCTCAAATGTGAGAAGCCAAGAGCATCATCTGGAGGTGTTGAAACAGACTCCAACACTTTGCAGGATAATGCTCCTATGACGCCACCTCAGAAGCATTATCCTGTAAAGCGTCCGGCAGGGTTTCTACAAGAAGCATATGTGCATTCATTTTATAAATATTTAAAGGGAGCCTCTGCGGGTGAGAAGGACAATGTCCCTGTCCTCAAAAGGCTGCTCAACCTCTGGGGTCAGGAAAGTCAAATGCATTAGAGAAAATGAGAGCTGAGAATGGCCTGTTATCTAGACAAACAGAAGGCCCCGATGGCACCAGTGAGAAGAAAGAAATCCCTTCCAGATGCAGTTGTCTCCGGCGGGGACGCGGTCAACAAAGTGAGAACTGGATGAGGTCATCTCAAGAGGGACTTCCAGAAAGCCTGTCTCTGGTAGAACACATTTGAGACAGCCGAAGAGCGTTAGGGTGTTGAAGTTTGAAAATGGAGAGAAATGGAAGTTGAGGCAGAGTGCAAGAGTCCAAATTCACCCTAAAGTGAATGAGTCTATAGATTAGCCAAGTAAAACCAGGCCCCCAGGTCCACCATGGAAGCACACAAATCCCCAATCTAACGCTGGCCAGCCACAGTGGCCTGTAATCCCAGCACTTTGGGAAGCCTAGGCAAGCAGGTCACTTGAGCTTAGGAGTTCGAGACCAGCCTAGTCAAATAGTGTGACCCTGTCTCTATTAAAAATACAAAAATTAGCCAGGCATGGTGGCACATCCCTGTAATTCCAGCTACTCAAGAGGCTGGAGTAGAATTGTTTGAACCCGGGAGGTGGAGGTTACAGTGAACTGAGATCATGCCACTGAACTCCAGTCTGGCTGACAGAACAAGACTCTCACAAAACAAAAGAAAAAAAGAAAAAAAAAACAAAAAAAGAAAGAAAGAAAGTCACTCCCTCACCTAAGATCCTTTATTATCCTTAACAGATGAAACCATTCTAGGATATTATAAGAACACCAAGAAAAACATCTTACTTTATTTCCTCACCAACAAACTCAGAGAAGAAAACAGAAACTCATTTCTGCAAAAATAAATGCAGAAACCTCATTTCGGCAGAAATAAATGTTTTGAGTCCAATACAAAATTGGCCAAGTGCCATTTGGAAACTTATTGTTTCTTAAGATTTTGATGAACAGCATTTGAGGAGGTTGAGGGGGAGAAGCGAACACTGCCCGTGATCGGGAAAACTGGCAAGGGAGGAATGCATACTTGCTCCTTAACAATAAAACACACGTCATCCAGGCGTATGGAGCATAAATTGGCAAAAGTTACAAAACAGTAAGAACTAAAGCAAGGAACATTACAGAATTCTGTCTCAATCCCGCACTCTCAGTGAGATGACGGAATAAACTATGGGAACCAACTCTGGTCTCAGAGTCCTGCTCAGGAGCAAATACTAACCTAGTAGACTTGAAATTGCCCCTATACACTTTATAAAATTAATCAGGAGGCCAGGCGCGACAGCTCACGCCTGTAAACCCAGCACTTTAGGAGCCCAAGGTGGGTGGATCACCTGAGGTCAGGAGTTCAAGACCTGTCTGGCCAACATGGTGAAACACCATCTTTATTAAATATACAAAAATTATCTGGGCATGGTGGCACATGCCTGTAATCTCAGCTACTCGGGAGGCTGAGGTGATAGGATCGCTTGCATCCAGGAGGCGGAGGTTGCAGTGAGCCAAGATTGTGCCACTGCACTATAGCCTGGGCAACAGAGTGGGACTCTGTCTCAAAAGAAAAAAATTATCAGAAAAGAAGGGATGGGGAAAATTAAAACAAACCAAGCATGCAGCACATTCAGAATTAATGTCATCTAGTCATCCTAGAATGACTAGGACAATAGACCCCGTTACAATATCACAGTCCCCCTGAACTGTTCTATAGATAACAACTTGAACATTATAAAACATTAAGTTTTCCCTTTGAGATATTCTTTCAGGTCCTGAATACCAATGACACTGCTGACATTAGCTGGTCTGAAGAACCCCACAAGAAGCTGACTCACCAGAAAATGAAGTTTCTACATCCTGATGATTTCATCCCCTTTACCCTGATCAATCAATGACCTGAATTCTCCAGTCTCTCACCTTCCATGATCCCCTTAAAAGCTCCAGCCCAGAAATCTTCGTGGAGGTGGATGCGAGGATCTCCCTCCATCACCTCATTTGGGTACCCTATGATCATGAAACTCTTTCTCTGTTGCAAACCCTGCTGTCTCACCTGCTGTCTCAGTGTAATTGGGATGTTTCTGCACGGTGGACATACAAACCTGGTGGTCCTAAAACA